TTTGTCTATGCAATTGGTACATTTGCGCCATCTCTTTGGTAATCCCTATACTTTTCCTTATTATTTTCTTGTAATAGTTGAACCAGTTCCAATGAGATGTCGCCACGTACGAAACTACATTCAAAATAACATTTTAATTTATGCACTTAATAGCCACGTCCGACTCAATTTTCCTTAAAGGGCAGTTGAAAATGTGCAATTTTATGTAGGATTTGTAGAGCAATTGTACTTCAATGATCCAGTATTTGGAATTGTCTTTTGTGCATGCAATTGGTACATTTGCGCCATCTCTTTGGTAATCCCTATACTTTTCCAAATTAATAGATAGACTAGAAACCAATTTCGAAAGAAAATTCAAAAGGCTGTAACTTTTGATCTAGCAGCCCAATCTTGCAACTGTTTGAAATTATGGATTCTACAGGCCACATTCTATGAGAAAATGTTTTTTCGCGGTCGATCTGAGACAATTTTTTTTCGGGCCTCAAAAAAAGGCAGTGTATAACCTTCCTTTTTTACCAAAAATCGACTACACCAAAATTTCTCGGGAAAACACTTTTTCGTATTAATTTTGGTGCGTAGAATCCAAAACAATTCGTACTTTTTCGATTAGACTTCTCAATCAAAAGTTATAGACTAGAACCAATTTCGAAAGAAAATTCAAAAGGCTGTAACTTTTGATCTAGCAGCCCAATCTTGGAACTGTTTGAAATTATGGCCACATTCTATAAGAAAATGTTTTTTCCTGGTCAATCTGAGACAATTTTTTTTTCGAGCCAAAAAAAAGGCAGTGTACAACCTTCCTTTTTTTACCAAAAATCGACTACACCAAAATTTCTCGGGAAAACACTTGTTCTTATTAATTTGGGTGCGTAGAATCCAAAACAATTCGTACTTTTTCGATTAGACCTCTCAATTAAGTTATGGACAAAAAACAAATTTCGAAAAAAAATAAGTAAGAATTTTATAATATGAATACCAGGTAATCACATAAATAAATGCATAAAATTAGACAACCCTTCAAAATATGCACTTTCAAATTCATATCTTCAGGGCATTAAACCAAAGAAAATAAAAAAATTATAGGTGGATTTGTTATTTTTTTCCATAAGCAAATTTCCAAAAATAAATAGTTAATTGCTAGGTTAATTGAAATACGAGCCCTAACACATAAATGTTCGGACATCTAGCATTTTTAAAATAAAACCGAAAAAAAAATGAAACCAGTCCAATGTCAATAAAGCCGCAGATATCTTATATAGAAATATGTATTATAAGTAGAGTGATCATAATTTTTCAACAAGAAAAAAGTACATTTATAATTTATAAGGGAATGCACTGCTAAAGCTAATACTCTAGGAAATTTTTCTGGTCACAATTTTACGAATCTAATCAAACAGTAAGAAAACAAAGTTTTTTTTAATCAAACATAGGTACATAAATTGTGTCTTTATATGTATATATAAATTTTAAAAGTTAATTTTCCTCCGACGTTCCTGCCTGAACATTTTGATCATCATTTTGGTACCAGTCGTACTTTTTGGAACCATGAATTTACTTCAGAAGTTGCGGTTTACTCTTTAAGAACTGAAACATTTCATCGACAGGTTGCTGCACAATGGATCAAAATCCAACTAAGCAATACGCCAAAGCATTTATGATCAAAGACATGCAAGATTATATTTCGTTTGGACAAAAACTATGACTTAATTTTGTGTAATTAAGAAAAAGAGTACATTTAGGTGTACTTGATAAATCGTAAAGGACAATAGGACAGCGTTTCAAAAGAAAGTACTGTCCTACTAAAAAAAGTACATATGGCCACCATAATTATAAGTTTATTGTTTATGTTTAATACCAAAATAGTTATTTACATATGAGTATGGTAAATCAAGGTTTACGTTAACGAATGAGATATTTACTGCCGAAGCGTAGCTGAGGCAGGAATTTCGAAACGAGTAACGTTAACTGATTTAACATACAAATAATGTAAAACATTTTATTTCATACTGCTCTTTTTTTAATTAAAATGCCATACAATTTTTGATTAGAATGTGCACGCGTTCAAATGAAAGTAAAAGTCGATCACTTGATTTGTTTGATCTGACAGTTGTTTGACACATTAATTATAGGTTTAGATGGATGTCAGTTGATGTTGCTAGGCAACATTTCCAGTCTGGTAAAATACGATTTACCAGACTCAAATCAGTCTGGGAAAGCGGCGATTACTAGATAGTATGAAATAAAACAATTTTTTTAATGCTCTCACAACATGAAAATGGGAAAACCAGCGAAATTAACTGACACATAAATGTTCGGACACCAATATATAATGTTTGGACACAACATATATTTGATAGTTTGATCTAGGTAACAGGATAAAAACCAAAAAAATTATAATTTTTATAACTTGTCAGCACACTTTGACATTTTGTTAAAAGAAAAATGCCACATGGCAAAGCAACATGGAAAGAAATTCGACAATTAATAGTAAAATGGGTTCATAAGGGAAAATCCTTTAGGACCATAGGTCAGGAATTCAATTTGCCCATGTCCACGGTGGTAGATATTGTAACAAAGTATATGGGAAAACAGCATCAATCGAAGTTGAAGGAAACAACACAGGAAGACGACCAACAGTTACCCCTAGAATGCAGAAAGCACTGATAACCATTTGCAAATCTGGACGAAGAGACACAGTACGGAATCTTACGGTAAAATGGAACGAAGTAACAAATGCTCATCTTTCTACCTAAACCTGTCGAAGGTGGATCCACAAATCAGGTTTAGATTTTTATAAAGTAAGTTGATCTTTAGATTAAAATGATTGAGCATTAGAAAATACTTTTTTAAATAGGCGAAAGAAAAACATCTTTAAAACACAAAAATAATAAAGAAGAGGTTGGATTGTGTTCGGGAACGGCCGGCGTGGTCTTACCAAGACTAGTAAAAATCATTTTTAGTAATGAATCTCGATTTGATATCAATGTAGGCGATAATCGAGAAAGAGTTATAGAACGGAAACAAGGCGTTTCACAAAGATTGCTTAAAACGTTCTGTAAAATTCACCAGTGGTGTAACGGTGTGGGGCAGTATGTCTGCAAATGGGCTGGGACAATTGCACTTACAAATGGTAATGTTTATGCTCAGAAATATCCATCAGCAATTTTAGAACAAAGTTGATTACCTTCACTTGCGACATCACCTGATGCAGACTTTGTTTTTCAACAAGACGGAGCATCATGTCACAGGAAAAAACGACTAAGAAATGGTTACAAGACCACAATAATAGTGTTTAGAGGTGCCCTCAAACAATCCAGATCTCAATGTCATTAAGACAGTGTGACAAAATGAAGCAGCGTTTGCGTATTCATCCGCAACGCAATATTGCTTCTTTGAGTGAAGTTACAAGAGATTTGGGATACCTTTGGCATCGATCAATGTAAAGCTCTTGTGACGACCATGCCTACACGAATCCAAGATGTTAATAAAGCCAAAGGGGATGTAACTCATTGTTAAGGGGTGGTGTCCGAACATTTTTATGTCACTTTAAATTCTAATTTTATGGTGTTTTGTGTTATTTGACAGTTGAAATTAATTAATTTTGCAACAAAATATAAAATTACAGTTACTAAATATGTTTAATTTATAACTGTAGTAAGAAAAAAAAATAAATAAAAATACAATGATTTTTAAGTTACAACATTGTAAAATTTTGAGTGTCCGAACATTTATGTGTTAGGGCTCGTATTTGGCGATATAAGAAAAATTAAAATCAAAATTATTTCAAATATATACAATACTTGATTGATTTTTCCAAAAAAAACTTGTTACTTTACGAACACTATTATATAGTTATCAGTCGTGCCATTCTTATACATTCACCACAACATTCCACTTTCCGATTACTCAACCAAACGGCAGTTGTATAGTCGCCTCTTACGACACGCAGCGCCCTCTGCGGTAAGGGGTATTCTTTCCCGCCCCTACACGGGAAAGTCAGTTTTAAAATTACAAAACTAATGTAAGAAAAATACCATAAAATCAGCCTAAATACTGCCCATGGATCATAGCTATCCAATGCAAGGACCATAAGATGGAGAAGTAAGTTCTGCATATTTTGTCACATCCGTTGCCGCCTACGATTTCGGTATTTTACACCAGAATTATTCAAATATGGCAAGGTGTGCTGTGAGGCTTTGATTGGCCAACGGGTCGGCGCGACTCAAGCCGAGGACAGGGTTTGTCAGCCGAGCGGCGACTTGTTTGTCTTTGTTTACGCATGCGCACATTTGATGTTTACAATATGCAATATGTTTGGCTTTTCTAGAAGAAAAAAATGACATGCGCACTTCGCGATAGATTGTTAGAAAATTGTGTTTTCGTCAGTTATGTGTTCGTTTAAGTTCATGTTAAATTACCAAAAAAACTTTAAATTTCAACGAATTTGTGTTGTTTTTATTGGGGTTAAGAATTTTTTTTGTTTCAATTTAGGGGGAGAAATGTTAATTTACGTCGTTTGAACGATATCTAAATTTGTTTAAATAGCCGTTTCATTACGTTAAGGAAAGATATGAGACATTTATTTATTTAAATATTTTAAAGAAATAATAAGTAAGTGGAATCGAAGATGGGAAAAGAGAGGAAAATGTTTAAGATATTTTATAAAAATAATCTTGAATGACATTTAAAAATGAAATAAAAATTATTATAATATATAATAAATAATTATATAATATAAAATATTAATAAATATTACGGAATCGAAAGATTACCTGATACCAATCAATTTAAAAACCCAAAAAAAATTCCTTTGTGTGTAGCTTAAAGGGTTCATTTTTTCATTATTTTATTTATTTTTATATATTTTATTTATTAAATTATATATTTATTATTATTTGAAGAAGTTATAAGGGAGTAGGAGGTGTAAAAAGGAGATGAAGATCAACAATTCTGCGCTAAAACAGGGAAAGTGAGGTGGTCTGTTATGGACAAGGTCCAAATAACAGATTTAAAATCATCATTGCTTTATTTCTTCAATACATATCACTTTTTATACCAAAAGTTGTTTTACAATTTTACATAAAGATATAAAATGGTGGTTCTGTTTTGGTCATTGGTAAAAATCATTCACGAAATTGTATAACTTGCACTGTGTTCTTTATTGAATTTCCATTCGGTTTGCTGAATGCGATTTGTGATACGATATAGGATACAATTCATAGAGCTAATTTACGATTAACAATTTAATGTATGTTTTTTACACTCAACGACTATCCTTGTGTATATAGGCAGTTAATTTGTTCTATATTAGTTGGTATTAGATGATATGACACATTTTCACTGCAAGTATGAGAACAGAAAAATGAATTGATCATCGATGAGCTGTGTGAGTTTGAGATTTTGTAACAATTAGATAATATTGCTGTAGACACTGCTTAAAGCTAAGTACAAAGAGAAAGAAATTTAACTAATTCAATTGCCTTGGTGCTCCGATAGTTCCTATTGAGCATCAATTCCAATTTTTTTATTTACAATTACCTAATTCACTCGAGGCTGATTTTTTGAAGATGAACCAACAAATATAAAAATCAGCCTTTAAAGACTAGTCACTAGATATATATTGTCAGTTGTTTTTAAAAAATATACCTACAATATAAAATTAATTTATGTTTTTTTAATACTTTAATCTAAAAAATTTGATTCGTTACCATTTATCGATATAAGAGATAGATTATAAAGTGATATTTACTTACAGTATTAGAAAAATAAGTTATGACTTAAAATATCTACAAGCATCTGATAGTTTTATAATAATCAGTTTGTAAATTCTACTTCGACGATTAACAGTTATTGTGTGACTGGATATGATAATATGAAGGGTTATTGTTACAAAAATACCCAATAGCCATATTCACAACTGTATACAATTTTGATTTGGATATGTCACAATAGTACACGCCATTTAAGTTGACTTGCATAATACTCAAATTGTTTTAGAGTTTCTTAAAGTACAATTTAAGTAACTCTTTACAAGGGTTATATTAAGTACAGAATCCCGTTCGTCAAATGCTAGTTATTTAAGACTGTTTTTTTGATTTTTGCCAGATAAATCAAAAAAGGCAAGGCAAAACATGGAAGTGAATAAAGTAGAAAGTATGAGCATTCATAACAAAGCCCGTGCCCCTGCTAAACATTAAGCTGGGGTTCAAATCATATCAAAATAATAATGATCTCTCCGCCATATGGAGCTGCAACGCCCTAATCAAAATCACCAACAAATTATTGTAAAAACAAGACTGGAGAAAAAGGTTGTATGATAAAGAACACGAAAATAATGCACAAAGCATTTTTTACTTTTTACTTTTTTTGATTTCATTTGCCTGAATAAATAAAATTCCAAATGCAATTGCCATGCCTACCTGCAACTGGCCCAAAATCAAGAAAAAAAATGGAAAAATGTGATGGACATAACCAAATGTCTTATCATCTTTCAGACCTACCTTAATTAGGCTCTTGATTAAGTCAAATGACCCAAAATGTTTTTATAATTGGTCACAGCGTTTAATTGCTAAAAACATAAAATAAACTAAAAAACATAAGTACCTATGTTTTCTCAAAATAAAAAAAGTTCCGATATAAACAGATCTGTTAATATAGTTCCAGTCCATTGGGTCCCAAGTTAACCACCACCTATTGTTTAAAAAGCAAAACAAATGCGCACTATTTTATTATCTCGCAGTTTAACAGCAGAAACCTTTTTATACTTTAGTTAAGCCATTTTTTGGCTATTAAAATAATTATATGTCAATTTGTATATCTTCTTGTAAAAATCTTGTTCTGATGTATTTACACATGTTAATTTTTGTTTATCCTAATGTTTAAAAAGTTAATCATAAAATAAAATTATTGAGTTTTTGATATGTAAATAAATATTTCATCACAGAGCAACGGCTTTATAAGCATGTAGATTATTAAAGTGTCCTTTAGACACTTTTAGTAGTATATGAATATGGCTTTCTTTCTATATTACCAAAATGAGATTATAGTTTTTACATCGCGAACTACGGTCTACGTTATTGTAGGTAACTCAATACCTAATAAATGAGCAAACTGAGATAGAAACCTAACACATCGTTTCTGATTGCATATGAAGACTACCCTTACTGTCGGCCTTTTTCAGATCTTCTCTCTGAAACGGTAACTGAGAAGAATCAATTACAATGGAGGGCCTTTGTGGTAACTGATTTATGAGAGGAGCAGCCTCACTTAAAGTGTTAGAATCGCAGGAATCTTGGCGCAAGGTCTCATTTTGACCGGACGTCGATGGACCGTCCTCCGGAAGCGGAACACCGGCTATGTCGTCTTCGATCGCGCTCGAACGTCTTAAAGCTCTCAAAGGCAGAGGGGTACGGTAAAGTTCGCAGGTTTCGCGAACCACCGTCAGCATGCCCGGATTCGGTACGTCGTCCTCGATGTACCTTCTTTGTATGAGATTTTCCATTAGCATGTAGTCGCTTTCTTCGGCGTCGCGAAGGTGCTCTTTCTCGATATGTAACGCTATTTCAGGATTGGACATTTCAGACGTGTGACGTCTTCGTGCTGTTACGACAATTAAATTAAAAAATGATTGAGACGCAAGTTTTAATTAGCTTTCTTACACGGTAAGGCGGTGGCGTTTTGCCCGGGGCGCGGCGGCGATAGAAGGTTCGGCGTTCTCGGCGGACTTAATAATCCGCAGACGGTTTCGAGTTCGTCCGTTATGCTGGTGTATTCCGTATGCATGGCCATTAGCATACTACGAGCGTTGTTTTGTCCCGCAGTGGTCGGTGGTATAACTGTGATCGTCGGTTCCGCAAACGTGACGCTCCGTTCCACTGTACCTGCGCGCATCGGTAGGTTGGCCAATACTGAATGCTCGCTGTTGTCGGGTTCTGAATGTGTCTGTGAAAATTGGCGGACGGCAAGAACTGGGCGACTGCCGTGTAAAGAGTCTCCTGAAAAGTATAAAATAATATTATAGGACTTGCATGTAATGTAACGGGTACAAACACAAACAACAGAAGAAAAGAGAAGAACGAAATAAAAATGAAGAAGGGCAACATCAAAATTATCATATTACGGAATGCAGCGGGGGTAGCATATGAAAGATATAGAGGGAAGGCAACAGAAGGGTAAAAAGAGGGGTAAACAGGTATAACTTTAACCGAAAACACTTTTGTTTTGACATCACCAATGGATATATTTCAGTCGCCCTTTGTGAGTACCCTCTTCCGACAATCCGTTCTTGAGGTATAATGGAATATACCCGACCACGATAAAGCGTCGACGAGGAGGGCTATGGTTGGTAGAAATTAATCCCTTTCGTTGAGACCTTTCATTAGAGTACCATGAAGGCCAACAAACCCGCACTTTGATAAGAGGGCAGAAAGAAGGGCAGTAGTTGGTAGAAAACGGTTCCTTTCGATGAGACCTTTAATTAGAATACACTGAGATAAAATTAATTTTTAACCCCCCTGTCGCTCACTGATCTCGAAAAAGAGTCGCACGGGAAAGTTATAGTTTGTACAAACCAATTTATTTCGATGAGACCTTTCATTAGAATACCATGAAGGGTAGAACATGTGCCCCCCCCCCCAATTTTCTAAACTTTAACTTGGCACCACTAAAGGCATGCGTATTCAAAAACTGAGACCAATTGGTTGTCGTATGTAGAAGTTATGCACGTTTTACTTTCAAAAAGAGCATCTTCGGAAATAATTCGTGGGGGGGGGGGGGCTACCTACTGCAAAAAATTCCAGGACTCCAGGACCATTCCCCTAGAAGTAGTTCGAAACTGCAGAAGTGGGTCCGGACGGACGGACGGACAAAACGCAAACAATGGCACATTCTTAAAAAATGCGCTAAAAAATGGGATAATAGAATGGCAAGGATGGCACCTCTAAAAAGCATTATGCGGGTCACTCTGTAATTGGGCGCAAGAGAGGGATAATAAATAAGTAAATAAATATACAACAGAAAAGCAATGAAGGACTTAAAAAATAAAACAAAAAATATGGTAGATGAAAGGGTGGAGGAGGGGCTAATATTAGGGGGAGATTTTAATGTCAGAACAGGAATTAAAAGAAAATGGGTAGAGATAGGAAGAGGAACACAAGATAGAAAATCAAGAGATAAAAAGTGCAACAAAGAGGGAAAAGTGTTACTGGAGTTACTAGAAAAGAGTTTAATATGGAGGCAAATAAGGACAGGCAATCCATATGTATGAGAGGAAGAGGAAAATCAGTAATTGTTCCACAAAAGTACATTAAAAAATGGAGAAAGGTTTTCGCCCTAAGGGCTAAAGCGAATAATTTTAGTGCATTTTTCATGTATTGATCTGTACTTCTCAAAAAGTCATAGCTATGTGCGCTATGATGAATTTAAGGTACGAACAAGGATAGAATCGAATCACCAAGCGATGGAATTGAGTCTAAAAGGGAAGATATGGAGTTGGATAAACGGAGAGTAGAGGAACAAGGAGAAGAAATTAGAAGGAGTATCTAGGATAAGTGGTGGGAGAGAGAGCGCGCACAGGAGAGAGAAATAGATATACAGAAATGATACGGAGAAAGAAAGAAGAGGGGAAATACAGGAGAAAGAGGCGAAAGAACAGAAAAAAAGTACAAAAGAAAATGTAAAGAAAAAAAGATGAAGATTACGAAGAGCAAATCAGGGAACTAAAACAGAAAGGGATTTTTGCAAAGTGATAAACAGAAGAAAAATGAAAAATAGAAGAAGGTATGGAAAGGAGGGGGGTTTATCCGTAGAATGGAAGGACGGAGGCAATAGTGCAAATTTTCAAAAGAGGCGACAAAGACTATGAGCAAAATTATAGGGGAATCACGAAAATGACGAAGGCGTACTGAATAAAAGATTAAAAAGAGCAATGAAAGAAATGAGGATGTTGGAGGAAACACAAATGGGCTTCAGAAAAGGGGAAGGAAAGATCGACTGTATATTTGTATTACGCAGATGGGTGGAACAGGAATTGGAAAAAAGGGGCGGAGAATATACAGAATCAGGCATATAGAGAGAAAAGATTAAGGGTACTTATTTTATTTTTTTAAATTTATTTATTTGCCTTTATTTTTGAGTGGGCGGGGCTTCAGCCAAGGCTGCTCTACCAACCCACCCCACTATACATTTACAAATATCCATGCACGAACCCGGATTCGAACAAGGGACCCTTAGCACCACAGTCCAGTTTCAACTGAACTGAGCCACATGGGCCGGCAAGGGTAATGAATTGAATAAAAACGATAAGTCTATACAATCAATAATGCCTATTATTATTATTATCATTAGTTTACTAAGCTCGGGATGGTTTCGTTGGTGAGCAACGCGCAATAAACCATTGTTTCCATGGGCTATTTCTTAGGCCCGCTTGTACAACGTCAGTATAAACTTCAGTTAAGTTTAACTGACAGATTTCAGAAATACGATTGGTCAACTTGTGAAATATTAGCCAATCAAATCCTTTAATCCACAATTTGATTATAAACTGAAGTTTAAACATTGCACAACTGGGCCTTAATGATTTTTGATAGTGAACTAATGATAATGTTTGCATAAACCCACCATTAAAATAAAAGGAGAAGAGTCTGAAGTGTTTTGGACACGGGGACAGGAATGCCCACTTATTTAATGAATGGAGAGGTATTGGGAAAGGAAAGGAATGGTGTTAAATGTAGAAAATCAGAGATGATAAGATTTGGGAAAGAGGGGAGAGGGGCGAAAGGGAAAGAGAGATAGACTGGAAAGGGCAAATGCGCAAATAAGAGAACTAAGAAATAAGGGAGCGGTGATGATGAGAGGTGTGGGGGAATACGAAAGAGGGGTTTCAAATCAATTTCAGAACAAGAAAATTCCTATTTTTCCATAAAAAAGTGAGAGGGGGGGGGGATAATTATTTTGCCCTAACCCTAATATGCGGGTAGTAAAACCGCAAGTTAATATCTTAACCAATAAGGAAGTTGCGAATGTTTTATAGGGGCATATCGGATTTTTGGACATTAACCCGTTATTTCCCATCGTACCAATTTGAGTACAGTCGAGTATAGGGAACAAGACTGTACCTACTGTGACGCCCTCTTTTTCAAATTCTGTATGATTTCTCAGACTGGCGCGAAAATTATATTCTGTAGTATATCGGGGGCGTAAAATTCAAAAATCGTCAGATACCATAATCAGGACCAAAAAAATGACCTCCTTCCGAACGCCCTAACTTATTTTGTAAGCATATTGTTGTGGAAACGCAGACATTTAGTTTGGGCATTGAATTTTAAATTTAATGGTTTGGGCTTGGCACGTATAATAATAATGGTCCACCTTGTATGTGGAATATCATTTTCTTTGTTGCAAACTTGGTTGCTGGTATTGAATTAAACATGGAGGTTCTTTTGTATAAGAATTGTTAAAAGTACCTATACATTTTGTTTCATTTGATCGCTTTATAATTTGTTAATATATTTGTAAAAATGAAATTAGGTGTTAAAAGGTAGGAACATCTGGTCATTGCGATAAGAACATGGAGTGAGGTGAAATTTAATTAGTTTCAAGATAAGCACGCGCGGTTATCGCTGATTAGAAGACAGGTGCGCAGTTTTTCCAGGGTGGTCCGACAGTGTACTTCAAAAGTAATGTAATTTAATTTCCTGCGCCGCTCCTATTGGTAGAAGTGGGTTCGAACCATTTGGAGTAAAAGGGGGTAAGGTTTGTCGCGAGACCGGCCCACCCGCCCAGTCCCCCAAGCCCAAAAGGCAAGATAATGAGTGAGTCAAAAGTAAATTCTCGTTTTCGCCAGTAAAGGAGTGGTCCATATAAGGAGTTTGTTCCTCAGGGACAGTTAACGCCACCTACTACGTCGATGTGCCGAAAGGACTCCAAAAATGGGTTAATAAGACAAGAAAAGACATCTCTGCTAGCTGGTAACTCCATCACGACTCACCACAAACACAAGGAGCCAACGCTGCCCCCGCCCCCCAGTGCTGACGTCGCCCCAGCAGACTTCTTTTTGTTCCCTCACATTAAAGCAGTCCTGAAGGAAACCCGTTTTCGTCCACAGAAGAGATCCAATGAGCCGTGACGAAGACCCTCGAAGATGCCTTCCAGGGCGCGTACCGGTCATGGCAGAGTCGCTGGAAAAAATCTGCAGAGGCCCAAGGACAGTACTTTGAAGAACTTGGAAGTGTGCAAATTTTTCGATAAATTACTTAAAAAAAATAATTGCATTACCTACTTTCGGAAAGCACCCTGTATATTGGGGAAATGAACATTTCCGAAATTGATAAAAACTTTTCTTTGCTAAATCGTTCAATTCAAAATCGAAGCCAGTGCTGTGGGGCCATTTTAGGACCTTAAGTTCCAAAAAATCACTATAAAAAAATGTCCCTCCATAAAGAAAGTCCTTTAAATTGTCATGTACACTACGTCATATGGTTTTTTGCCTTGAGATAATTCGATTGGCTAATGTGAGAAATGAAAAAGGTCTTGTGAGCGCATTTGTCGATTCGGGTAGTCTATGCAAAAATGATTGTTAAGTTAAAACATCAATTACCAAAGAGTCATATTGAATTGTTACTATAAGAAGTACACTTCATTTATGTCAATAAACGAGAATTTGAAAAGGAAAGGAAAGAGTTTGAAGGCAATTCCATTCTGTGAATGTTTTTCTTTGGTGCATTTGTGAAAGAAAATCGGAGATAGGACCGGGTTTAAAATTATTAACTTTATAAGGTAATGAAAACTTTATTTAACTAATTTTGTTTCAATCGATCGCACGTTGTGGTACTTTGTTTGCAGGCCCTGAGTGCCTTTCTTTCTTTCAGTATTATTGTTTTTTGTCGAATAAATTTATCTGGTGTGTAAATGATCAGTTTTGTGTTTAATCGAACCCAGATTACAACCCAGATAAGAATTTTCATTATACATTTTCTGTTAATTTTGACAGAACGAATATTAATTTGTGAATTAAAAATGTTTAAAAAGTGATTATAAACATCTAGTTCCTTTTGAAGCCATTTTCAGTTGTGAATCTGTGTTTTTTGTACTTTTGTTTCGGGACATATTGGGCATCCAGATAAGTTGCAATGAATCCGAATGAAATTTCAGCTTGTTCTACAAGTTTTTCGACAGACCTTTCCTTTGGGCAGGACCAATTTTGACATTTTTAAAAGGTGAAAGTGAAACACAATTTTTTAAGGAGATATTTGAAAACAAAATTTACCATTCCCGCCATCCGAACTGCGCCGCCCAGTACCGGCAGAATCCCTCCTCCGCTTTGCCGCTCTCCACCTTAACGTATCCAAACTGAGCGCCGCCAAGTCGTCCGCCGACAATTGAACTTCGTCTTTTTCATCCAAACTTTCCAGCGACGTTTTCGACTCACTACTTCTCTGTCTCTCTTCTAAAAGATTCAACTGTTTTCTGCTACCTGCGCGGAAAATTCGTAAAAACCTACTCCGTCTAGTTCTACAACGTACCTGTAGCCGAAAAAGTCTCCGCGTCGTTAGTCTTGTCTTCTTCTTCCACGGGCCTTACCTCAAAATGTAATCCGTCGTCGAATATGTAAGCGTCGGGACGAACTTCTGTCAGTGATCGTATGGGTTTCTTGCGAACCGGCTGTACGGATAAATGTGACTCTTCCGAGGGAGCCTCGGATCTTTCGCTTGTTTTTCTTGTGCGATCGGTAACTATTTGTATTGGCGGTAACTCTTCGTTGGTACGCGTCGCCATAAATCGGTGTATGACGGCTAGGTGAGCGAGAATATCTTGAGATGCCTCCTCGACTTTTCGGAGGCGAAACTCCACACTTTGCATCGAGGAGGTTTGGTTGTTTTCTTTTGTATTAATATCTTCCACTTTCTGTAAGAAAGTCACATCTTTAGTTATAGTTCAGGGAATTTAAGAAGAACGAAGAAGTTTAAAAAACGCATTTTTGGACCTATTCGATATTCCCGGAATCCATAGCACTTAGGGGTGCCCACTGCTTCCATTTTTTTTAATCACCCGCACGGCAGGAGTAAGGTTAGAAGTGCGCGGCATAAGGTCGTTTTTGGCTAAAGTAGCAAGTGAGAATTGTTTAAGTACAAATGTCTTCCAGGGTTAAACAGCATGATGCCTTGGACGCGTTTGGTACAGAGAGCGTACCCCTTGTCCCCATGCGCGATTTAGAGGTAAAGTGAGGGCGCCGTAAAGAGAGAATGGGGTAGGGGAAGTGTACTTTCGGTTATTTACGCGAGATTCTCCGCTCGGCGGCGATGGACTTTTATTTTAAACTTAGAGTTCATGAAAAAAATTCAGGCATAGCGCACTGAGAGAGCGGGGAGTCGAATTTTCTTTGGGGGTTTCTCCAACGAGGGGGTGGACGACGTTCGGTTCGATTCAAAAATGGAAAATTTTTAATAACCTTTCAATCTCTTAGGCTGATGCCTATCCGATCCCTTATATCTCTGGAGCGCTAGATAAGTTAAAAATGTGCACACTTTTGTAGCTCCATGGACATCAATTCTGCATATTGGCAAGTGCCAACAAAAGATGGTGCTTGAGAACGAACCGCCTTCACAATACTTAAAAGAGGACTATTCTATAAAAGAATGCCTTTTGGGTTGACGAACGCGCCTGCGATATTTCAAAGGCTAATTGACCTCTTAACAGCACTTACCTGAACAATATTTTCAACTTTCTCCGTAGTCAATTTTATTCGTTCATCAGTTGACTGATGCAGTTTGTACTCCTGCTCAGCGAAATATCCCTCGACGCATTCCTCTTCGAAGTCATAGAGTCGCTCCATATCTTCTTTCTCCAAGAACAATTTTAGGCCGTTATCATACGTCTCTCGAATGCCCTTCAGTTTACGTTTGAGATACTTAAACAGTAGGAACAAGTGACATATAAAAATGAGCGGGGGAGGTAGGATCGGTTTCTGTTCGTATTCCATAACTACCGTAAACCTCTGAAACATCCACACTTGATGCGCGACCGCGTTTACTTCCATAAAGATATTATTAAATACGGCGATAAGTAAATTAATGAGCAAAATATTTGCGACTAGTAAGTACACCGACATTACCGCGGGAGTAATCCAACGCCCGGTTACGCATTTCGGATCGTCCGGTCCTTCTTCACAGGGAGGGTCTATTCCATCGGCGAAAACCTCTCCGTACAACATGAAGTACGGCTCGTAAAATACCTGCGGCAGAAATTAGTGCTCGGAGACAGCTTAATTGCAACTTACATTTCGTGCGAGTCTCCAACTGGCCTCTTTATCCGGATAAAGAATAGCTTGTCGACACACGCCAAAACTCATAAGTACAACCAGCAGAAGTACTACGAAGTAGATCATGTTTTTAACCATTTTCCCCATCATGGTTACCAGTGGTCCTAAAGGCAACATAGATTTGCACAACTCAACCTTAGTCGTAACTTACCCAAATACTTATTAACGCCTAAAATATTCAGAATACGCAAGTACCAGTAAATACTATCAACACAGTACATCACTCGACCAATTTCACTAGTTTCATTTTGTAATCTTAACGACACGCCGACTAAGAAAAATATGATAGCGATAGCATCACAAGGATTCCACATGTTCAAACTCCAAACGGCCAGCTTATGACTGAGAGCGGCGGGTTCGGTCGAAAGTATCTCTCTCACCTTCTCGCAACCCATCGCCGTTATAAACGAAATGGCCAAATGCTCTTGCCACGTCGGCGTCGGCCCCATCTTCACCAGCACGACGTAACTAAACAACATGAGGAACATCAGGTAGGCGATCTGCAAGTTTGTGAAAGTTCGCAACGGACAACAAGACATTATTCACTTACAGAATTAGACCAAAACTTCGTTATGGGCGCCGTGAAAAATTCGTAGAGTTTCTTCTTAAATTTAAGCGGTCTCGTTCGCGTCTTCTCCGCGTACCTTTCGTCCATCGAGAAGTGCATCCTAGACTCGTCGAATTCCGGTAGCACCTTGCCGTTTTCTTGCACGACAGTGTCTCGCGGTATAAAATTTTCTGTCAATAACGCCTACAAGAAGCAAAACTATATCTAAAGGCCAAGTAGCGTAATATGCAATGAGAGTTTTTCAAGGAATGTTCTGTAACAATCATTTCATTACGTACAGAAAGTTTTATTACTCAGTTCAAGTTCATTTTTAAATGTACCTGAATGCCGCTGCCGATGTTTGATTTTGTTTAAATAATTCTTTGTGTCTTTTGTTTTGGTAATTCTAATTAAATTACGTGTTCAAAGACTTTATTCAGTTAGGAATTATTTGCGTAGTATTTTAAGTTTATCTCATGTTTTTCTCGAGTCGTAGATAAGAAGTTTTCTGATCGCTGCGTAAGAAATAAGCAGATTGAATGAGCGTATTTGAAAGACAGTAAGTATATAATAATGCAGCTGTATCTGAATAAACAATTAACATAGTTACAAAACATTTCTTGACTTCCGTGCAAGCAAAATCCTATAAATTGTACTATAAATCAAAACCATACAAAGTATGGATGGTATAGCTTCAGACGCTTATCATATACTAGATACTACCAGCAAGAGTATTTAAATAATGCTAATCAGTGATGGTACCTACTAAAAGGAAAGCATTTTTCTGAAAAAAAATAGTATGCAAGCGAGGACAAATATTCAAAATCATGCCACTGAAAGCAAACACTCCTTCATGGCCACTCTCATGCAATGTTTCATTCACATTCTTCGGATATAGTCAACTAGTCACTAAGTGAAAATTTGTGACATTGTGAAAAGGAAGGATTTCTACAGATTGCAGGGCGTTTAGTTGCGGAATTTTGCAAAACTGCACGAAATTTTTTCAATTAATAAAAGTGTGAGATCTTTTTATGAGCATTTTTATGTTTTCGAAAGTGCTGAATTTGAATTTTCAAAATGTCACCAAATTTCCGATACGAAAGTGGGTCAAAATTGGAAGAAAAACTCCAAAAACGAAAAAGAATTATCTGGTTTTTGAAAATGGTGCAATAGTTATTACGCTATACGCTCTCATCCCTTCTTTGTCGAACGCAAAAAAAACCCCAAGGCGATATCTCACAAAATTAGGAAGTTAGGTCATTCGGAAAGCGTGCACGTTCGTTTTTTTAATTTTTTGGGCCCTGAGAAAGAGCCCAAAAGGACTCATTTTTGGCCAATGTTTGAGTCCACTACCGGGAATACGAAAATTTCCGAAATTGGGCGTGTGGAATCCAAAAATGGAGTCGGATTTGACATGCGAGACCATTTTGGGCACATAACGGCCTATAACATTGCCAAAAACCCGGCATGTCCCCAATAAAAAATTTATTTGTTAAGATGTGGACTTTCTGTTATTTTGTTAGGCAAAGAAAGGAGCCTGTAGTGTCAAAATTTGAAAAATGGGGGGGCCAGTATAGAATTTTGTATTTGGAATAACTCAAAAACGATGGGGGTGCGAACGAAGATATTGGGAGCGCAAACATGCGCAAACGATCACAAGAAAAAAAGTAAAATTTGTAAACTTGGGGGGCAGTTGTGAAGTTGGCCCCCCCGAATTTGATTCCTTCGTAATTTTGAAACCGGCAGCTGCGGAATTTTGCAAAACTGCATGAGATTCTTTCAATTAATAAGTGTGAGATCTTTTTATGAGCACGTTTATGTTTTCGAGAGTGCTGAATTTGAATTTTCAAAATGTCACCAAATTTCCGATACGAAAGTGGATCAAAATTGGAAGAAAAACTCCAAAAACGAAAAAGTATTACCTATCTGGTTTTTGAAAATGGTGCAATAGTTATTACGCTATACGCTCTCATCCCTTCTTTGTCGAACGCAAAAAAAACCCCAAGGCGATAACCAGGGCGATACCTCACAAAATTAGGAAGTTAGGTCATTCGGAAAGCGTTCACGTTCGTTTTTTTAATTTGTTGGGCCCTGAGAAAGAGCTCAAGGACTAATTTTTGGCCAATGTTTGAGTGCACTACCGGGAATACGAAAATTTCCGAAATTAGGCGTGTGGAATCCAAAAATGGAGTCGGATTTGACATGTGAGACCATTTTGGGCACATAACGGTCTAACATTGCCAAAAACCCGGCATGTCCCCAATAAAAAATTTATTTGTTAAGATGTGGACTTTCTGTTATTTTGTTAGGCAAAGAAAGGAGCCTGTAGTGTAAAAATTTGAAAAATGGGGGGGGGGGGGGGGCCAGTATGGAATTTTGTATTTGGAGTATCTCAAAAACGACGGGAGCGCAAACATGCGTAAACGAAGCGCAAACGATCACAAGAAAAAAAAGCAAAATTTGTAAACTTGGGGGGGGGGCAGTCGTGAAGTCGGCCCTCCCCCCGAATTTGATTCCTTCGTAATTTTGAAACCGGCAGCTGCGGAATTTTGCAAAACTGGATGAGATTCTTTCAATTAATAAAAGTGTGAGATCTTTTTATGAGCCTTTTTGTTTTCGAGAGTGCTGAATTTGAATTTTCAAAATGTGACCAAATTTCCGATACGAAAGTGGATCAAAATTGGAAGAAAAACTCCAAAAACGAAAAAGAATTATCTGGTTTTTGAAAATGGTGCAATAGTGATTACACTATACGCTCTCATCCCTTCTTTGTGGAACGCAAAAAACCCCAAGGTGATACCTCACACAATTAAAGAGTTAGGAAAGGGTTCACGTTCTTTTTTTTTTAAATTTTTTGGGCCCTGAGAAAGAGCCCAAGGACTCCATTTTTGGCCAATTTTTGATACCACTACCGGCAATACGGACATTTCCGAAATTGGCAAAAATTGGGCGTGTGGAATCCAAAAATGGAGTAGGATTTCACATGTGGTACCATTTTGGGCACATAACGGCCGAACATTGCCAAAAACCCGGCATGTCCCCAATAAAAAATTTATTTGTTCTGATGTGGACTTGCTGTTATTTTGTTGGGTAAAGGAAGGATTCGAGCCTGTAGTGAAAAAATTTGGGCCACCCGATACTTCCGGTTCCGGAACAGCCCTACCCCAAAATTAAGGATACAGTGAGCCGCAGGGGGTTGATATTTTGCACTAGACGCTCCAAATCCACGTCATTTTTGGCATCTTCTGACCCTATTTAAATTAGGTCAAGTCTGATCTAGTCTGGTCCAATCGTTTAGTGTAAGTTAGGACTCTTTTAGAGTGCTTAAGAAGCTTTTAAATGTCTGTTAAAGGCTCTAAAGACTGTGGGGATCATTGAAAACTGTTGGGCGATTTATTAAGGCTCTTAAGAACCTGGGACTAAGTACGTATTGGGGAAATTGTGCGTGGGAAAATTCTGCCGCCTAATTTTCGCAGTTTGGCCCGGGGTGTGGCACTAACCCAACGTGAACGCTAAAGTCACTAGATATAGAAAGTACCGCAATCATCCTCCATTTTTGGGCAAATTTGCTGCCAACTTAAAAAAATTGACAAATAAAATCTGAATAGCTGTAATTTTTTATAACCTAACTTCATAGTACTGTCATGTTTTATAAAAATATACACAGATATCTCCAAACAGGTGGAACAATCCCTAACATTAAAGTTACTAGAATCTGGTAACTTCCGCCATTTTTGGGCAAAAATCATGCGTTCTCTCTCTAACTCACGGGCCCAATGGATTGCGCTACTTTCTATATTTAGTGACTTTAGTGAACGCGAAACCAAGCGTGAACGTGAACCCAACGCCAACGTGAACCCAACACAAACGTGAATGATCCTGTTCATGTGTTTAGCGAAGTCAATACAAATAAAGGTCCGTTATAGGTTTGGTTGGAATGGCATTTGACTTCGCGTTCACGTTGGGATAGCGTCACACCCCGGACCAACTGTTGAAGCACCGCGGGCCAATTGCCAAAATACCCCGGGCCAAACTGCCAAAATTAGGCGGCAGGCGGCATACGTCAAAGAAAAAAGAATTTTCCCACTCACAACTCCCCCAATACCTACTGGACTAATAAACGCTTCTTCAAAGGACTCCACTAAATAAAAACTCCTGAGGTTCGTTAATTGAATCTAGAGACCCTCAAGAAGACTGTAGAACAATTCAGAGAACTTTAAAAGATACTGTCTGTTAGCAATAATTTAAAATTTAAAACTGGTGCGTATTTAGGATTGCCGATTGGTGCGCGTACGTGTAGGATGAGAGGAGAGAATCAAGATGGCGGAAGTGACAGATGTGGTTGAAAATGACAAATTGACAGATCGACGTCGATCGAGGGAGACAGAACTTATGGATAGCGCCGATAGCGGAGAGAAAGGAAAAAGTGGCAACAGTAGCATGAACGAATCAAACTGGAAATGTTATAATTGCGGCGATCCAAGACATTTAGCTAGAAACTGTACGAGACCAAAAAGAAACAGGTGCTTTACGTGCGGTAACGCAGGCCATTTCAGTCGGGAATGTACAAGCACGAACGAAAATAAACCCTGCTAATTTCATACCTCACAGAAATCAGCGCTAGAACTCAATTTAAAAAAAAAGCAATACCCAAGCAGTGAAAGACATTAAAATAATAGCTGCAAAAAGCTACCTTAACACCCTGTCGAGTGGACGACTTATTACGTATGCTCAAACTTCTAGATCGTTTCTAAAAGAAATATCACGTTTCTGTCTAAAACAATTGAAAAGCGTGCGCAGCGTGACTCACCTCCTCGTCGGGATTTTTCTCCGACTCCGACTTATCGTCGTCGTCGTTTTCCAGTTCGAGATGCTCCTCCTCGGTTTGCGGCATTAGCTGCAGCTCCTCCTTAGATTTAAATTCCAACCTCAGGATGTACGGCGGACACAATAGGCCTAGTATAACCTGGGACAGTAATAAATATTGGTTCAATTTGGGGCGTTAGGTTAATGCGTACTTTTAAATTGGTGTTTTTGCGCGTTCTCAAACCGCCCATCCATAAATCGGCGAGAATTATTTGGGAGCAGGGGTGCGCCAGTAGTGCTCTGTGATTGGCGGCGACCGCCAAACTTAGGCAGGTCTGCCCGGACCAATTTTGTAGTTCGACAGTTAGAAGTTGTTGCGTTTGATCGTCGTCTTGTCGATAACAAAAGTCCAGTAATTCTAGTGCTACAATCGAAAGATTACCACCGGTGAATTTATAGGACAGATTTTACCTATGTTTTCGAATTCTTTACCGTAGCTTCTCAGCTCTTCATAGACCTCGGTTTCCATGTCGTCTTCGGCCGCCTCATGCGCCATAGCCTTGTACAACTTACACGCGACTAACGCTTTCGCCAGTGCTTCTTCGCCATGTTGCCACATTAACAGCGCCATCTTCTGTCGTTTCATTAAGACAGCCCAAATCTACATTTGTCACGTTAACGTGGGTGCTCCAAGGGCTCGCAACTTACCAGTAACTCATTGAATGGATAATCGAATAAGCATAGCGCTTGATTACTGGGGAGCGCTTCGGCTAGTAAGCTCATTGCGTTTCCGTAGTAACGCACAAACGAGGTCGAGTTTCTGTGTATGTGAGGAACTTTATTCATTACCTTGGCATAGATCGGACGAAATTTTCTCCTAGTATAAAACGCCCTAAAATTCGCCCGATTATTAATCAACCTACTCCAGGAAATGTCTACCTGTAAGCCCCTCCCATCAGTTTATTAATAACCAGTCCAATGTCATGTAACGTATAAACGTACCCCTTCGGAATGTGAGGTCTAACATCCCTCAAAATATAACCTAAGGTATTACTAGGGCCCTGTTTGGTGTTATAAAGTTCTTCTAGGCGCGGTATCGTAAGGAATTTGCGCATGCTAACCCCGTTCTCCAGCAGAAGTTTTACAAAATCCGTCCGATCGTGCTCCAGCGCTTGCATCATGGCTTCATTTAAAGCTCCCGTCGGCCACTCCTGACCGTAGACAAATATCTCAGACCGAGCGATATCCACGCGATTCCACGTTAACGCCAGACTCAACTGCTCAGAAGGGCTTAAATGTTGCGATTTAAAAAGGGCGGTTAAAATTGTTTGATCTAACTCTTGCAGTTGGCCTTCGTATTTTTCCGATATTCGAAATATTGTAATCTGAAATTAATTTTCGGCATCCGATTTTGAAGTTAATAGTAGTACTTACCAAATTTTTTTTCCGCGTGCATTGAAGTAATTCGGTGTAGAGACATTCGGATTGCTCTAAACCCACCTCGAACGTTCTTTGGATAGTGTTGATTAGGTAGTCTTTCATCGATTCTAAAACAGTTTGTTCACCGGATTCCGAATCACAAGCGTATCTAAAAGTCGGAATGAAACACGAACACAATTCGACGTAATTGTACTTATGGGTAAAGGCGATGAGATCAGCAGCCCGTCCAGAACCGTCGCACACCACCACAGGAACAGGAGGATTGTCAGTTACGTATTCTAACACAGCCCGAATGGTGTTGGTACCACCTTCTATTACTAAACACACTACAGGAGTACTGCTATGAGTATCTGAAATAATAAAAATCAAGAAAGTTGCGTCTCTGCGATTACTACGTACAAGGATGCAACCTTTGAATTGATATAAATTTTTCTAATTTTCTACGAAGTACTATTTCCGCTCCATACCTTCCCTGCGTACCGTTGTCCACGAGAAGGAAGTAGGCGTGCCTATTGTTTAATGCCGCAAATTTAGACCTAAAAAAAAATTGAATTCGGTTCACATTCAGACACAACTAAAGATTCTCTTATTTATTTGGTACAGCCTTCCATTATGTCTGAACTTATAGTTTTTGGTCACTAAAATAGGTCTCTTTTGAATAAAAAAAATACAACAAACGTGACGCAACAGACTTCCGCAAGTTCCGCAATTTTTTCACTTCCATCTCCGCCTCCGATTCCGCTTTTTACCAGAAAGGTACAGGCACCAGAATTTTTCAAATATGGCAAGATGTGCTATGATTAGCCGAACGGAACGGCGCGTGACGTGAGCCGCGGGCGGGGTTTATCAGCCGAGTCGACCAATAGACGTGTAAGTAAATGACATGAAGCATGTGGTAACCCCCCCCCCCAACATAAGAAAAACATGTTATCCACCTTGGTTTAGCCACTCTCAATTATCACCGCTCCGCTGCCTCAAGGGGGGGGGGGGCCCGGAAATGAGGGGGGGGGGGGGGGGTCGAAGTTACTAAAAATGCATAATATAGATATAGATACGCAACGGTAACCTTGCCTGCGTAGATGTGTGTTTTAGCATTGAATGGAAATTCATTATTTAATTTATTCTCGCAAGAAGAAAAAACGAAAGATAACCCAAGTTGGCTTTTTATTTAACCCTAGGGAAGCTAAAAGGGAACTAGAAGTATATAGTAACAAACGCGGTTAGAAATGCAATATTAATTTAGATGTAAATAAAGTAAAATAATATTATACTGCAGTACGTGTGTATATTTGGGATGAGGTAAATGAAGCGGGTCATTGTAATTAAGACAACAACAATGTGAACTGAGTTAAATACGTCCATTTTTCATGCTCCTGCACTAGGTGGATTCCGAAAAAGGAAATAAAGTCAATTGAATCATCTCCATCGAGCCATCTCGGCGTTGAGGACAAAGACACAGCGTTTCCGAGAAAAAAAAGAGAGCGTTAAAAAATTTCCGTGGGGCTACCTCGATTGTTACCGGATTGAATGAAGCAGTCGGCAGCAAAACTGTACTTACGAGGAACATAATATTTATGCTATAAACACATATAACAATGTGTGCAGGATTGGAAGTGTGTACGGGGATGGCGGATAGCGGCAGAGCTGGGGATTGATTAGCGCTGCAGCCGAAAATCTTGAGTCCAAATCCGCAGTTTCAGGAGCGTGCTAAGGGGAGGAAGACTTGCCCAACAGAAGTGGTTTGGTGCAGAGGGGTAGCTAGGGTGGGGCAGGCAGGGCACGTTCCTTGGAGCCGTTCAAAAGGGGGCGCTAAAATCGTTAATTATTAAATTTAAAAATTAAAATAAACCACTGAAAATCGTATATATCCTCTTTTATATTAAGGTAATTTACGAATGGGCGCAATTTTACTGTTTGGCCTAGGCCTAGGCGCCATTTGAGCATGCTACGCCACTGGTTTGGTGTTGGTTTCAGAGTTGTTTATAAAATCGATGTTGCGGTTGCGTCTGGCACGCCAGCCAATAGGTGCTTGTTTTTCCCTAGTCGTTCCCTCATCTGGCCCAGTAAGTGTTCGTACCCGCCAGGGCTTGTATAGGGTAAGGGCACGTGTACTTCAAGTAGAACTTCCAGACGTGTTGGTTCCTGAATCTCTCCATCATCCTGTCGCCTACTTTATGTAGTTGGTCTGGTAGTTCGCGTAGCGGCTGCGGTATCAAGCTTGGTTTCTGTGGACCGTTTGTATTGCGCCCTCTAGCGCCTCTCCTGTGGATAGGGTAGGTCGTAACTTGCGTTACTCCTGTGGCGGTGTTCGCAAGGTAAACAGCACTATCGGAGGCGCCGGGGTTCTTCCCTATGAGGTGCGTGTGGAGTCCCTTCTGTATTTCTTGATGAGATGTCATCCCCAGCTGGCACCTGTCCGTAGATAGTGTCAAATTATGTTACGTTCGATTGTCCATTGCAAGTGGCATGGTGTTGATTGGGTGCTGTTCCTTGGGGGAGGGGCGCAACTTCTTTGGTGGCTTCCAGTAACACGATTAGGATTCTGTAACTGGTCCGTGCAGAGTTCAACTGGACGGCCAATTTCATTGTACATCTAAGAAACGGTCTCAAAGTAGGATTATAGAGCCGATCCGTGCAGAGTACAGCGGGAAGGAGGAGCATTATGATTCTGATTGGAAACAGTCCCAGAACGCATTTAGAACTCGTCGTGAAAATCCAGAACACATTAACGTTTTTTTTTTAATTATACACGGTGTTTGGAGCAATACAATTAACTTTCTTTGATACATAGGCACTTGGAATAAAGGAAAATCAAACGCCAATTTCAAAATTTGGTTTTGCGCATGCGCAATGCCAACTTTTTTATTTATGGAAGAATTTAAATGAAATTTGATACATAGGCGCTTGGAATAAAGGAAAATCAAATGCCAGTTTCAAAATTTGTTTTTGCGCATGCACAGTGCCAACTTTTTATTTATGGAAGAATTTAAATGAATTGTGATACATAGGCACTAGGAATAAAGGAAAATCTAACGCCAGTTTCAAAATTTGGTTTTGCGCATGCGCAGTGTCAACTTTTTTATTTATGGAAGCATTTAAATGAAATTTGATACTTTGGCGCTTGGAGCAAAGGAAAATCTAACATTAGTTTCAAAATTTAGGTTTGCGCATGCGCAGTTCCAACTTTCTTATTTAGAAAAGCATTGGAAGCATGGGAAATGAATGCAAGTGGAAATGCGCTTTATGTAAATCGTTTACGATTACTTTTTAACTTGTTAAAATTCTACATACATTCCCACCACATTGCAAAAGTAATCTTCGCTTAATCTAACATTAGTTTCAAAATTTAGGTTTGCGCATGCGCAGTTCCAACTTTCTTATTTAGAAAAGCATTGGAAGCATGGGAAATGAATGCAAGTGGAAATGCGCTTTATGTAAATCGTTTACGATTACTTTTTAACTTGTTAAAATTCTACATACATTCCCACCACATTGCAAAAGTAATCTTCGCTTACTAAATACGGCCCTAACAATTTATTTTTGAAAAGAAGGCCCTCAACTCATGGAAGGACATGGAGGTAACACCATTTGGCATAGGAGGAAGGTGCCCAAATCCTCTGATTTTTCAGTTTAAATCTACAGCTTTGTAGTCCATCCTCATTGAAGAGTTGAAGCGGTTGGTGGTCAGAAAATCTTCCCTGCCTTCCTCCATCTGGTCAAGGGCACATCGTGTGAGCGAGGGACTATTATTTTCATTACTCTTTCCCTCCTGTTCCCGTTTTGATTTAGCGCGGAGTCTTGCACCCTCAACAAGGCTATAATCTAGTATACTTTCCCATTTGAAAATGTCAAAATGACACAAATCATGTAAATTTGTCGTTCAAAGTCATCATGGTAGTACTTTTCGGCCAAACTCTAAAATTGTACAATCCCTACGTAACCTTAAGAAAAATTTGCCAGTTGTTCACCTTGCGCCTACACCCACACGCGTACCACAACAGCGTCCGTTACCTGCGAAGCAACTCGGAAAAAACACCCGACCTAGTCTACATCCCGCAAGTATTCAGATGGCTGAGAACGAAAGCGAAATTTAAGTATCTGCAAAAAACGTGGGACCCCGAATTCTCAGAGGGCGCCTTCATTTTCGGCTCGATTCAGGCAATTTGTAAAATTTCAGAGATCATTCACACCGAAGATTTGGAACGATTAAACGGACTACTAACCGAAACCGCGCGGCTCAAGCTCGTCTCCGTGCTAAATGACAAACTTACAGCTCTACAAAAGAAGGTTATCAAAATTTCGCCGGTCGATATCAAGATAATGGTGCCCACGGAAGTCAACTTGAAAAGGATCGGAGACAGAAAAACGTGCGAAATTTGTCTTAGAAGCTTGTCTTTAAAATGGTTCGAGGGCAAAGAAAGTACGAAGTTAGTTTTGATTGCCCTACAAACAGACTTCCTTAGAGACTACGGGCAGAATGTCACCCCAGAGTGGACGGTTAATGTATTTGACATATTGGAATGTGCTGTACTTAATGAAAGTAGATTTCCTAAATAAAATTGCAAATAAAACACGAACTTATAAATTAAGATGCTGAAATGACAAATGACACCTACATGCGGGCAGCCATGATGTGCACTCACTTGGGGCGAAATTCAAATCAACTAATAAACAAGCATTAACCTCACGTTTTCTAAATAAATTACTGTGACACGTCACATGTCATTTTCAAAGGCTGCAATAGAGCACTAGGAAAATTCCCCTAGAAAATAACTAAAACGTGCACATCATAGGGCCATTTCTACCTCTATGCAATTGTTTGATCAGCAGTCCATCTTAATTTATAAGTTCGTGGAATAAAATCAAATGACTATACCTAGGAGATGATATGGAATGGAATGGCACATCACGGTTCAAACCTATCAATTCAAAATTGTTCTCCACAATTCCCCAGGGAGCGATTCCAAGTGACACGACGCGGCCGCTGGATCTCTCGAGTAACAGTGCGTCACCCACCTGCCTCGTGACCCCTGAAATTCGAAACGATGTACAAAACGCCACGCACTTGTTCAAGGCACTCACCTGTATTGGTGCCTCCTGTAAAAATCCAAGCGCCCGTTGTTTTGGCAGCCTTGAGTAAACCTTTTCTGAGTACCTTCTTCAGTTTGGGCTGAAGTTCAAAATTAGCCTTGCCGCCTTGTACAGTGATTAAGAGTTTGGGCGCTTCCAAATTCCATTCTCTTGTGAATAACTGCAGTAAGAGTTCAGGCCGTGTGTCGTAGGATACCCTTGCATACTGAAATAAAGAATGTAAATGATATTACAAGCATAACGTAAACAGTATAATAGCTATCTGGAACGAGTCGTTTATTTAGCCGAGCGAGCTTGTGAGCGAGGCACAAACAAACAAGGCGAGTCCCCATAATAGTTATTTATGTATTAAAGGCATAATAGTGATGTTTATATTCTCGAGGGCGACAAGTTAAAAAGCTCGAGGGCCTATAAATTTTGGTGCAGTCGATTTTTGGTAAAAAAAGGAAGGTTGTACACTGCCTTTTTTTGAGGCCCTCAAAAAAAATTGACTCAGATCGACTCGGAAAAAAAATTTTCTTATAGAATGTGGCCTGTAGAATCCATAATTTCAAACAGTTCCAAGATTGGGCTACTAGTTCAAAAGTTACAGCCCTTTGAATTTTCTTTCGAAATTGGTTTCTAGTCTATAACTTTTGATTGAGAAGTCTGATCGAAAAAGTACGAATTGTTTTGGATTCTACGCACCAAAATTAATAAGAAAAAGTGTTTTCCCGAGAAATTTTGGTGTAGTCGATTTTTGGTAAAAAAGGAAGGTTATACACTGCCTTTTTTTGAGGCCCGAAAAAAAAATTGTCTCAGATCGACTCGGAAAAAAAATTTTCTTATAGAATGTGGCCTGTAGAATCCATAATTTCAAACAGTTCCAAGATTGGGCTACTAGTTCAAAAGTTACAGCCCTTTGAATTTCTTTCGAAATTGGTTTCTAGTCTATAACTTTTGATTGAGAAGTCTGATCGAAAAAGTACGAATTGTTTTGGATTCTACGTACCAAAATTAATAAGAAAAAGTGTTTTCCCGAGAATTTTTGGTGCAGTCGATTTTTGGTAAAAAAGGAAGGTTGTAGACTGCCTTTTTTGAGACCCTAAAAAAAAATTGTCTCTTGTCGTCCCCTTGGTCGACAAATTCCTCAATCCCGCAAATCCCGCGGGATCCCGCTCCATTTATGTGCGGTATTAATCTCGCAAAAATGCTGCGGGATCCCGGTATTTCGGGATCCCGCAATCCCGGTATTGCATTCTCTACCTGCAAATATTAGTTTGTTTTGTCATTAAGTATGAATGAGTTACTATGGTGATACTTAATGCCCTAGGGCATAAAGTGGTACTTTATGCCCGCGTATCACAGATATAAAATGTGCTATGATAGGTTAGTAAGACATAAAGCCTATTTATGGACGCGATATACGAGTATACAAAGCTTTATGTACGACTGCAACAACCCTTAACAATGAAAATTTCAGGGAATTCAATAAACGATAAAATCTATATATCATTGACAACAGATGCCAAGCAATTGTCAAGTATTTCTACAATACTTGAATTTACCTTGGATTGACACCCAAGTACGACTGTCACATTGACAGGCGGCCGTTTAGCTTTATTATTATGGACTAGGCCATAATATTGCAAATTATGGCCACTAATTGCGACTGTAATCATCGCATTTTCAAGCATTCGTACATAAACACACTTTTTTAACCGATTTGTTTTTACGGCACACCCTGAATGTAAAAAAAACAGGTAAACCTCTTCCAGAGGGCCACAGGATGAACCCCAAAAACTAGAAACCGTGCTAAAGCAGATTATCCAGATAAAAGTGGAAATATTTGAAAGCTAAAATGGCAATTGAAAATTAAAAAACAAGCCGATCCAAAAAAGTCTGTCCGTCTTTCGCAGCTTGTATATACCTATGTATCTAAGTGTAGAGGTATTACCTGAGCTTTTGTTGGATGAGGACCGCCTTGAAATTCGATTGTGCCATAAGCGTCAGTCGGAGAAGCTCTCGTGTGTTTCGAAGGAAGCCATACCTCGCCGGGGATGGTTTCTCCCACTGACGAGGGGGAATGTGCTGTAGTCTTCCGGCCGCAAGAGCATCTGAAACAAATTTTAAATGTAGGTACTTGTTATTGGTTTAGAGTGATTGAAGGTCGAACCTTCAGACTCTTAAGGAATCAGAGGGCCAAAGTATCGAAGAGTTTCTGAGACTCTAGACCTTTAATATTCAAGAGCACTTAACACTATTTAATATCGTTTAATAATCTCAAAGAGTTTCCAGAGCTTTCTAGATTGTTTAGTTTAAACTTTAAATAAACTTCAGCTCTCAAAGAAACATCAGTTATTAGGTAGAGAAATTTCGTAAGAAAATTGAAAGCCCCTACTAAAATTTGTATGTTTAGTAATTGAGGCATTATGTATTCATGAATGTATAAGCCTAATGGAGAAGAATTGCTCTACAAACTCGATCGCAATGATCAAATAGTTGAATTTAGGATAAAAATGCAAAATTTTCCATGCCGTGAAACTTTTATCGCAAATCCTGCACGCGAATGTCCCAATTTACATAGTAATTTCGAAACATTTTTGTTTTGTGATAGATTGTGATTAAGGGAACGGTTTGTGAAAGAAAATGGCGACATTTTAAAACCACCGAACAAAAAAGAACCTTTTCCCTATAACCCTATGTACCCTAATTCCCCTGTAGTACTTATTGGGAGAAGGGGATATGATAATTTTTCCCAACATCCGTCATGGGAGTCTTCAAGGGTAACCGAGTCGTGTTGCCTAGGGATCTGGAGGGTATGGAATCACCCCCAGCAAAACTGTCAACTGTCGTGCACTGTGGGATATACTATACCACCCTCCGGCACTAAAAAATCCGAAAACGCCGGAGAAGCTGAAGAAATCGATGCTCGAAGAATTCACACTCTGCGCATGCGCAAATTCCAATGTCGAACTACTGCGCACGAACCCACTGAACTGAAGGTCATCATCATGGTTGTTGTCTAAACTAACAAGCCTGTTTATCTGATCATCAGAAATCGACAGATCCGTTTCTGATGAGCAGACCTATTAGTTTAGACTACAACCACCATGACTTTAGTGACTTGGTGCATGTGCAGTAATTCAACCTTGGAATTGTCGCATGCGGAAAACTCAAGGTCAAAGTGCACCCGGATCGGCTTTACTATACTACTAATGCCCATAAGTCGCACAAACAAGAAAAGCCATATTGGATGAATCTTGGCCAGATACGACAAAGATTAGAGCTGCCCCGTCCCGCTCATTTCATTAATATTTGTCGGCTGTTCGAGCGCCTTTTAAGCTTTTTATAAATTGTTACAGTCAAAATTTTACCAGTGCCGTAGAAATTTAAATTCATTTTAATTTTTCTAGGAGTGGAAATCGATCGCGATCTCGCCAACGGAATATCGTAGAACTTTAGGGTTTTCAGCATTACATTCGTACTATCGTGATATTCCTGCATCGCTTAGTCTGAATTTATTATTATTTATTATTTTATTTGCTCGTTAGAGAGCATTTTATATATGGGAGATCTCCATGTGGAATGTACATATACACAGTGCCCGAAATAAAATAATAAAAATAATTTACAAATTCACTACATTGTCATCAATAGATGTCGCTAACTAACCATAACAAATGATAACAAAGTGTTAAAGTCACTAAATATAGAAAGTACCGTAATCCATTGGGCTCGTGTGTTAGAGAGAGAGCGCATGATTTTTGCCCAAAAATGGCGGAAGTTACCAGATTCTAGTAACTTTCATGCTAGGGATTGTTCCACCTGTTTGGAGATATCTGTATATATTTTTATAAAACATGACAGTACTGTGAAGTTAGGTTATAAAAAATTACAGCTATTCAGATTTTATTTGTAAATTTTTTTAAGTGGGCAGCAATTTGCCCAAAAATAGCAGGTGATTGCGGTACTTTCTATATCTAGTGACTTTAACAAAGTGTTAAAGTCACTAAATATAGAAAGTACCGCAATCCATTGGGCTCGTGTGTTAGAGAGAGAGAGCGCATGATTTTTGCCCAAAAATGGGGGAAGCTACCAGATTCTGGTAGCTTTAATGTTAGGGATTGTTCCACCTGTTTGGAGATATCTGTATATATTTTTATAAAACATGACAGTACTGTGAAGTTAGGTTATAAAAAATTACAGCTATTCAGATTTTATTTGTAAATTTTTTTAAGTTGGCAGCAAATTTGCCCAAAAATGGCGGATGATTGCGGTACTTTCTATATCTAGTGACTTTACAAAGTGTCATTTGTTAGCGACATCTATTGATGACAATGTAGTGAATTTGTAAAGAAGCGTATACACGCTCCATAAATAAAGGCACGGGTACATTGTTACCTTGCACATTCTTTAAAGAAAACCAGAAAATTCCAGAAAAACCGAACGATTGGCCAATTGGGTCTTTATTTTTCCAGATGTTATTTGAGCAGTTACAGGAAAATAAAAACCACTTCCTCACTGCCAGTTCTTGAGCTCTACAAGACACCGTTGAGAAATTGTCAATACGACGTTTCGATTTTTTTGCGTTATTTTTTTATATGGCCCGTAGAAAAAATACATAGGTACTGTATTGAGTAGCATTGTCCATTACGAATCCAACGATGTATGTCGCACACAAAAAAAACAAAAGTTGGAAACTGTTGGTTTCAACAGGATGGTGCACCAACGCACAAGGCCCTCAAAGTGGCAATTAGAAATTGTGTTTTTTTATTTTTCTGTAACTGCTCAAATGACACCAGGAAAAAGTAAACATCGGCAAATTTCGGTTTTTCTGGTATATCTTCGGAAGCAATGTGAATTTTCTGGTTTTCTTTAAAGCATCTTCTATGGTTTCGGAGATCTCCATGATAGACATCCTTATCTTGGACACAGTGTATAGCCTATGATGATGCACACATTTTAGAGAGCTGGAAGTCGCGCGACGCTTTCGACGGGGAAACTGTGTGCGCCGTCTCCAAAACGGGACCGCATCTTTGCTTCAGCTTTCGTCGAGAGAGCATCGTGTAGTTTGAGGTTGTTTTATACAAAACACAAATAAATTATAAAGAAATGCCTTGAAATTGACATTATTTAACCACAATGCGCCATCACGTTTATGGCGTTTTTGAGTAAAAAAAAATTATTTTATTAATTTATTTATATTTATTATTTTACAAATAATTGTTACCATTAACGCGTTGGGGTCAAAGGTGCAAAACACTTCGTTGCGCTATATTTGGAGTAGAAAGTTACTTAAAAAGTCAGTTTATTAATCAATTTGTGTATATGAGACGCTAATAGCATTAAAAGCACCTCTAAAAACAGTATGTGGGACACTTTGTGCTTGGGCGAAAGGTTATTGAGGGCGCAGAACAAGAGGGAATAAATAAATAAATTATACATAAAACGGTAAACGGTAAAAATGAAGACAATTAATTCGTGCTTTTGTTGGCTGTCAAAACCTTAAGTTATAAAGGTAATTTATATCAGGGTTTTATTTTCAGATCATAAGTGGAGATAAAGAACCAACCGTCCGCAAGGTGAAAGTCATTGAACATTTATTCATTACTGAGCTAGCCGTGGTATTAGTTATTTCATTACAAAAAATCAATTGTTATTTCACTTTCACTTCCAGTTCGCAAATATCTAAAACGGAAGATCATTTGATCAGGAAATCAGTGTTTCAGAATCATAGACATCAAATCACAGTGACATTTGGCAAAAATGACAGTCAATTCAAATTATGACATTCAAACCCAACGACGCGATCGCCATCTAGCAGCCTTGTATATACGTATAAATGCGACGATTATTCCCAATTCCCGGGAAATGTGCATTTCCTTTTAAAACTTTAGGAGAAGGGAAACTACTGGCATTTATCAAACTAAGAAAATATTGAATTAAAAAAAAATCATTCCGGGGGCTGTTCCTTCCCTCAATTATTCACGTTGGCCGGTTATTATGAATAATCGCCGCATTAAGCACTTTGACCGTAACAAATACAGTGATATTCATTTAAAAGTAGACATAGGGATTTGTGGGTATTGCTTTCCCTATGTCTACTTTTTAAGTGACAAACTCTTCTCAAGGACGCCTAATTTTATGCAACCAAAATAACTTCTTAAAACAAATGAAGAACTAATCGTAATATACGGGGGTGAATTTTTTTTTCTGTTACTTAGGATCAAAATTTACCGTCTCAAAGTTCAATTTTGTGGTTTTTGTTCAATATCTCGGAAACCTCGCCGGAAACTATCACGAAAATTAAAGACAACACGATTTCGATGTTAACGAAAATTCAATGCGAGATCCCCTTCCAATGTATATGCAAATACATTAACCACCCTAATTCCTTAATGCAAGCACTTAACCTAGTGCATACGCCATCAATCTAACATGAATGCCATTATTTACACTTTATGAAAGAGTAATCGATCCATTTTCCGCACAATTTCCATAAATTAATTGGAAACGGGCTGCATTTTTGACCCAATGATCATCAATCATAAAAATTGTACTATCCATTAATGATAAGGGTAGTTTATTTTATCGATAGTTTTACGTCTTTAAAAATTTGTAGCGACTTGCATGTCGTCGTAATGTGAAACGGTTTATTGCAGAGCAACCATTTCGTATACTTTTATTTTACTTGAAGTACACTTCTGGCACACTGTCAGTTTGCTGGAGGATTAAGCGAACTCAGCATCGTAAAAGCGTTAATTTTTGATTAAAAAAAAACGTCCTTTGGATCTTTGCTTTTATGATGGAATAAGCGTGTAATTTGTTTCTTATTTATTAGTCTTTTGGCGGGAGATGAAATGTGAGTCACTTAAGAAAGCGACAGCTAAAAGCAACGGAATAAGATTAATGGAGATTCCCATGACGCGCCTTCGCCATCTTCGTTAAATATTAATCGAGCCTAATCCACCAAATGGAATTAAAATGTATACACATTTACAAGTTTGATTGAATTATTTCTTTGATTTTGATCAATTAATTATTTCTGGCACGCGACCGGTAGAGAAAGACACGCCATATGCAAAACATAAATTATTTTTTGTGCCAAATCAAA